GGAGTTGGGAGGTTACAATGCTAACCATTCTAAAATTGTGTTTACATTTTGTTTAGTGAGGGGAAGGATTGGGAGGGTCAAAAAGATGCAAATTTCCTCACTTTCGTAACCCTCCTAAAGTGGACGGATAGGGAGAGGGGTTGGATTTTAAGTGAATTGGTCCCTACTCTTCCTACTTTCTACTCTGAACAAACACAAATTAATTCCATCACTCTTCCTCCCTCTCCATTCCTTGGTTGACTATCCAAACACAATTGGTTACATCACACTCCCTTCCTCTCCTTTTCCTCCCCTTGGGTTTAGTTCAATCATCCCACTCCTCTACTCCCTTCTCTGTCCAAACCGACCAAGGGACAGGGTTAAGTATAGTGTGATCGAATGGTGGACAAAGAATAAGTTTAAAGGTTATATAATAATAATAAATAAGGTTGGGTGCCTTTATATAATATTTCTGAAAGAATTTATTTATATCTGAACCAAATAGATTACAACTTAAGAGGACAAAATCATTTCCCACTAAAGTATTAGTGAACTCTCAAGTTGCCCCTAAAGTAACAATGTACCTACTTTATTCCTCAAACTATATTTATGGTTTCAATGTTGTCATTTTCTGAGTCTACAGTCAAATATTTAATAAATTAATGACGTAACAGTGTTTTTGTATCTCTTCATGGGTTTTCATCAATTTATTTCTTTTTTCAACAAACAAAAAATATTTTTAACTATTTTCTCCCAAAACTTTTTAGCCTTTAACTTTTTTTATGTATCAAAATTCAAAAAATCACTTTATTAGAAAAATACTATCACACCATTAATATGTTAAATATTTGACTGTAGGCTCACAAAATGAATACGTTGTGCACATACATATAGTTTAAGGAGAAAATTAGGCAAATTGATACTTTAGAGGGCAACTTGAGAGTTTACCAATACTTTAAGCGGGAAAATGATCATTTTGTCCTGTATAATCAAGATTGAAATATAAATCTGGAGAGATAGGATATTTCGTATCAATATCCATGTCCAAAAAGATATAAATGTAAATTCACTTCAAGTAATATGAATCAGTTTACATCCCTTAGGTGCAAGTCCACCAGAAGTGAATCAGCGATCAAAAATTGATGCTTATGTCACCTACTAATTTAATGGTTAGTGGCAAAGTTGAAACAATTTCTTTAAGATGTATATTTTTAAGTCTGTTTCTGTGACGGCTAAAGAACATGTAAGAGTGAGCACCAGTTCTTTTAATTACTTGATGTGGTGCTAAACTTCACCTTTCTTACAAATCCAAATGATTCTATTCAGATTCGTAGAATTGAATCATGTGTCATGACTTTGAAGCTTCGAAATAGCATAAATGTCATCAAAGAAAAAGTGTTACGTGTAAGTAGTTGAAGTAAAAAATTATCATGTTATATTTTGCACTGCCTTAGAACTTTTTGTTCTGACAAACTAAACATAGGATCAAGGGGACGCTAAAAGATTTGACTGTCAAACCCTCTAATCAGTTATTTCTATGACGCAATTGTAAATTAATATGCTCATTTAATATGGTAGATCTGAAGCTTAGTCATGTATTAGCAACAGCATGCAATGAAACTGATCCAGAGTAAAATCTGATGCTAGAATGTTTTATATCTCAAGCGTTCAACAAGATTCAGTAGTTTAACTGTAACGGATGCGTTCTACACATTGATATGCTCTAAGCAACAAATTTTAGGGATTTAACTGTTATTGGTGCAGTGTCCACATTGTTATGCTTTGACTATGGTCATTGTAGCGCTTTGGGAATTGGAAATATATCACAAAGCCACAACAATAATTATTTAAAAAAAGAAGAAAAAGAATTACAATATTATAGATAAGATACAGTAAAATAAGAAGAGAAAGTTGAAAGGAGATGAAGAAGGCAAGAAGAATCAACACAACTAAATAAAGAAGGAAAAAAAAGAGAGGAATAAGAACTAAGAAGAGTAAAAGAGGAAACCAGAAGAAGCAAAGAAGGGAAGGATGGCAGAAAGATGTGTTCTGTTAAATAAAGTGGGAAAGGGAAACAGAGATACATTCGACAATAGAGCTGTTGTAGGGAGGCTTTAGATGGCTAAGGCTGCAATCTTACCTGCGAACTTTACTAGACTATAGAAAATACATTGTCATCTAAGTACCCTTTGTAGTCACTACCTTTTTTCTTGCCTTTGGATTTAATACACTTGATGAATTAGAGACTCCTTTGGGTCATTATTGCAGAAAATACCAATCATGATGTGTACAAGGCATTTCATGACACAGTTATGACCAGTAATAGACTGTGATGCCTCCCTTTTCAAATAGGTATTCGGCATATCTGCAGGTATTATGTAGGTTATGTGAGGAAAAAGAATTCAGCCCATAGGCGCTTAAAATACCAATCATGATATGAACAAGGAATTTCCTGGCACATTTAATAGCAGTAAATAGACCATGGCCTGCCATTTCAATTCGGTATATGGCATAGCTTGTTGGTATTCTGCAGTTTGCATGAGGAAAAAGAACACAGCCAATGGGCAGTTAAAATATGTTTGCAAAGATGATATCAACGAAATATCAGGTTATCCTCTCAATTTTGGGGTCTAAGTTGTCCACCGGTCAAAGTGCATCAATAAACACATAAAACATGATCTGGGTATGGTAAAAGTTGGAGACCCAACTGATGAGGATATAGCAGTAATAAAATTATACCCAAAGGTTGTATAATGTAAGAACCACAGGACTCAATCAAGTTGCAATTTCTTTCCATCAGTTGCAGCAACAGTGGTGGAGATGAAAAGCTATGATGGGAGGAGACGGTCATGGCAGTGGTAAAAGACACACAGGTTCAATTTTTTTTCTTTTCACCTTTCATGTGTATCTGACAGTGAGAACCAGTTCATTGTCATACAACTTAAGTATGCATGACATAAATGCAGGCACGTACATGTCGTATGCAAACTTAACACGTATATATAGGCCTGGGTGGATATCCATGCATCCTAGAAGTCTAGCACATAGTCAAGAGCTAAAGACTATATTATGGACCAGCAAAATGATCCTTTCCACTTGTTTGAAGAGAGATAAATTGAGACAGATGTCAAAAGACAAAGTTCAAGAATACTAAACATTAAAATCATTCTTGAGGCTAAATATTAAACTATCAGATACTGAAGAAAAAAGCCACAACTAGCATACACCAATAATAATCAGTTTGATAGCAATTACATTCAAAGAATCAACATTAACGAGCAAATTGGCATGGATGAAATCGAAGAAGAACCAGCATTTATAGATTTGGTTGCAAGACTTCCACTAAATCAAACAGAAAAATCACCTTAGGTCTGTTGTTTAATTACTTAAGTGGCACCATAATTAATTGTAAATACATTTAAGTAATCTGAGAAATTTCATTATAGTCAAGTAGCATGTCTCTGATGTTGATCCAATCAACGGAGTTCTCTATCATTTTAAAATAAAGAAGGCCCTAATAGCAACAAAGAGTGAGGGTGGGAGTTATTCATGTTGGAGTCGGTGTTTTAAAAATAGGCCGATTTTATCAATTTATCGCCGATATATAGGGTTTGCACTATGGCCAATACGATTTTTGCAAAAATATATTGCATATAGTTTTGCGCCGATTTTTCCCGATATATTGGTGTATATCCGATGAAACAGCCGATTTCTCGTGGGCTAAAAATCAATCAATTTTCTACAATTTACATTTTAAGTGAACTGGTTCGGGTTTGGTGACAAAAGCTCTCTTTTTTCAATGCCCAACCCACATACGCTAAACAAAAACAATGCTATTCTATTCTATTTGGCATCCCTAAACAAAAATAATTGGTAAGTGATTCTAAACATGTGTTATTTAAATATTAGTATATTGATTTTTTATTAAATGTGCTTAGATTATATTTTAAGACATTATATTATATATGCTCACCATCCAATGTAATACACCGATTTTTACTACTTATCCCCAATATATACCGATAACTGGGATCCGATATGAATTTTAGTTGTCTGATATATTTCCAATAACCGATATTTAAAACGTTGGTTGGAGTTGTCCTAGAATCCTCACTCCTATTTGGATAAGGATTTGTTACAGATAGTGTTTGAGTATGGTCTTTTTGGCAATACAAACTCTATTTCGGATAAGGATATAGGAATTCTTATTGTACATGAATTCAACCCTATTTAAGGAGTTGAATTCTCAAATCTAGGGCAAGAGAAAAATTGAATGAAAGAAAGAAAGTATCTTAAGAGAGAATCCAAAATTGATAGGGAAGTTTTTCATCTTCTGAGAGGGATCTGAGAGATCATCGAACTCATTTGTGCGAGTTGTAATCTCTCTTCTGATTTAGTGAAATTTATATGCTGCTGCCCATGGACGTAAGACCTGCTCTGAACCACGTAAAATCCTTGAGTTGGCGCTTGTGATGTATTCTGCGTTTTAGTTCGGTTATTACTTTGTGATCATGGTCGCCGACGCGTTTTCTACAACAATTGAAGCCCACAGCTATTACAACACTAACAGAAGCTAAAAGGCTAACACCCGAACATGAGAATAAAAGTCAACTAAGTATGCTTCCATATGCTCAAATAGCCATGTATCATTTTCTTGAAAAACTTGTAGAAGTAGGCAGAGACTATCCATCATACGTGTTAATATCTTTTCTACTGTGTTTTTGTTGATTACTTGTAAACCAAAAAAACTATCTGCATGTAGATTTCTAAAAGGTTTGATGAACATAATCACATATTTATTATAACGAGGCTTCACTATAAGATGCCTGACTTATGGTGAAAACATTGCCTTAGCACCATGAACTGACACACCAAGTACAATGCAATAGCTAGGTGGAACACATATCACGAGTGACGATTTATAGGTGGATAATAGTTATCTTCATATCAGATGCTAAGCCTACAGGCTACAAGTGACAATCAGTATCCTTATTGAGAAGTCAACATTAACTCTTACAGTCTTACTTTTATTAGTCATGTGTCTTGATTTACAAAGTATTTCATCCCTCCTGCTAATAACTAACCCCTGTCACTTGGCTACATACACGGGTAGATTTTTACTACAAGTGGCAAAAGGATGAATACAAAACGAGAACATGATTGAGATAAAATGAAAAGTGAAAGCACAATAAGGAACCTACATATTTTGGAGCACTAAAAGATATTGAGGCAAACACGATTTGGTGAAATCTGTCAATGAGGCTACACTAACACCTTATACTATATTTATACAGATAAGGAGACAAAAATAAAGTAAACTTCAGTGGATAGTCAACGTTATGAAAAAGATAATAGCAATGAGAAATTTTTTCCATTTAAAAAACTAACAACATAGTACGTACAGCAACAATATACAACTTTGTAAACCAAATATGATAGCACATACCATTAGACTAAAAGGATAATGCAAATCATGATCATAAAGTACAACATCGTGATAGTAAAATTAACTTCATAATAACATGGAGGTGTTAATAAACGTACATGGTATCTCCATGAAATTTATACTCTAACTGCACGAGAAACAATAATAGTATAATAATGTATAATACACTAAAACCTGGTAACTTCTAATCCCTAGCTCACCTATACATAACAAACCACAACCATAAATTAATCTACGGCATGGTAACAAATTGCGCAAACACTAAAGTCAGAGCAATATACTTTTCATTTCTGCTAATTAATGATAAAAAAGTTCCCAAAAAATGCACCGTGAAATTATAACGAGCTTAAATTGCAAACTGGACCTTCAGAAGAGCAACATGAAGGCTGGCCAAATCCCTGTTCGGAGTTATCAGCGCCGTCTCAATCTCTTCAGCTGAAATCTTCAAGTCACTACCAATAACAGGCTTAAAAACCTAATATCCACATAAAAAATCATAACTTTTAGTAGCAAAACAAGAAAGAACAATAAAAATCACAAAGAAAAAAAAACTAAAGAGAACAAAACTCACGTGAAGAAAGTTAAGAACAGAAGCGAACTCCCATCGCTGACGAATGCGTCCCCTAGCGAGCTCAACATCGGACGCCGACGGATCCGCCGGCGTCGGGTCGTCTTCGCTCTCTTTCCCGCGCTTTTCGGCCATTTCGAAAGGGGGGGAAAGCGCGGGAAAATCGCTGCTGCTTCTCTTCGTCGAGATCAGAGGTTAGAGGGGAAGGGAGAGCCGAGATGGACCAACTGTAAACTAGGGTTTGCTCTGTTGCGAGATTCGAGAGTGAGGAAAAGGATTTTGAAAGATCCCGCCGGAAAATTTAACGTTTGGGGTTTAATTTTTTTTCGTGTTTCCCCCTTTTGTTTTGTTTTATTTTTCTGGGGTGAACTCTTTTGGATTTTTTTTTTCCTAGGGTTAGATGACGGTGATGGTTTTTTTTTTTTTAATATTGTTATTATTACTTGGTCCTTGCGAGTGCTTTATAGGGTGGGGAGTGACGGGGAGTATTTGATGAGATGACATTTGATTGGACTTTATGTGGCCGGTTGCGAGACCGGTGCAATGGGCTATAAATGGGCTCGGCTGGACTGGATCTTTTCGGCCCATCATTCAAACCTGGAAGTCCAATAGTTTTTAGCCCGCTTAATTACGCAATGTTGACATAAACTGATCTACATAAAAAGAACAAATTCAGTGGCTAGACCCGGGCCATCCGAATAAAATCAAGGTAAACTTCGATAAAATGCCATTTAAGAAAACTAGTAGTTAACATGTGTTTTGCACGTGATGCATATAAAATAATGATACGAGATTAAAATATTTGAAGGTCATCTCGCGTTGCACTTGCCATTAATTTATTGACATTCATATTAGTTTTTCTCTCCAAGAAATCGCATACTCGTATAACTAATAGATTGATATTTTTCATAAATTAGAGGTGAAACAGGTTGTAGATCTGTTTGTTTCCTCAAAAAAAATACAACTTTCTCTTTTAATTATCACCTGTGAAATCATATTGACTGCAAAGTATCCCGATTACTATAACCAAGGGACTGACTCCACTGTCAAAATTCCCACTTCTTCTGTTTTTTTTTTTTTTTCCTTTTGACTCTTTTAGTGTGTTCTTTTGTGCATTTGAGCATTCATATATAGCATAATTTTATGCAACTCTTGTCTAAGTGGAATGTTTATGAAAGTAGATAAGTCATGAAATTATTAGTGCATAATTAATAAAGAGAATTTAATTAGTTAGTAAGAGAATATACATGAATCCTTTAATTATAGGTTCCTTTTCTCACTAAAAGTCATATTAAATGCGTTATTTGTTAGTTTAGAAGGGGAGATGTCATAAATTACTTTATTAGCTAGGATTCAATTAATGTTTTGCAATAGTTTTTTTGTGAAAAAATATTAAGATACATCAAAATCAAAACTAAACTAAAAACCCAGCATCATAGCAAAACAATGAGGATTAACGTTGCCCCTTTTCAGACTAAAAAATATTGTGTAAAAATGATAGTAAGTCTTCAAGCAATACAACAAATCATTAATTTTCTTAGCTTTTCGGATTAACACATGAGCCATTGTATTCTCCATTTAATGAACTACTAAAAATCTCATTCCTTGAGTCATGTGCAACATCACTGAATATCATCCACAGAGTGTCCAAAAATCGAGTGTTGCTCCACCCATTTATGGATATCTCTAATTACTGCATATGCATCTTCTTCAAAAATTATCTTTCCACATCTAATGTCAAGAGAAAATGTAATAGCTTCTGACACTGCTTGGAATTTTACATGCTTAGAATTACCTCGTATCTGAATACTATTATTAAGAGTACCTTAGAGGGGGTTGAATAGGGTAATTGCTAATCTAATCCGATTTCGATGTCAAATTAAAACTTATAACGCAATATCCTAGCAATATGATATATAATATCATTATGCAAGGATAAACAAGAGACAATAGGTGATATAAAAATATGCACAATATGTAAAGTAGAATAGTACGCTAAATGACAATCGCAAATACACGTTATGATCACGGAGTTTGGTCAACCCTCGACCTATGTCTCCGCTTCTCACCTTGAGGAGATCTCCAGTAAATCTTAAAATCTATACAAACAGTTTTTAAAGATTACCGATAACTTTTACAACTCACACGATGTCAATCCCACAAGCCACACTTGTTGGACTACTCGTGTTACCTTTCTCAAGTGTTTAAAATTATAACATCTCCCTATGATTTACAACCAACCCACTCCCCTTGGAATTGACCCCGGTCTTTCCCAACCACTATTTTAAGTATCCTTGTGTATTACAACGTGTTTAACAATAAGTTCGATTAAAGATTTTGTTCTCTAAACAAGTGTGAACGAATTGTAAAGCTCTCTCAAGCAATCACTTTCACTGCCCAAATATACTTAATGTGAAATACTAAAGCTTAAGAGGTTGTGTGTGTAAACAATGAGTAAAACGAATATAAACTCAAGTATATCTTATATATATATAT